GTCTCACAAAACACATCCGTCACTATGAAAACTGAAAGTAGGTGAACATTCAGTCTCAAGGTCTTGGATGGAGACACTAAACTAGAAGGCAAGCAGTTTCCTCTGAAGATCGGTTGGAGCCCAGAGAGCTGCATGTGCATAAATATTCTATTGCAAAGAACCGTATCTATTTCCTGTGGCTGGACGCTTTTATAGAGTGGATAGAGTAGAGAGATATGGCCCTCAGAGTAATAATCGGGACTATTTTATCACTTAGGTAAAAAGCCAGTCCGGGCTTCTGGTAAATGCCTATATGAGGATATTTCAACGTGGCTCGTGACTTAAAGTTCCTCCTTAAAACTTCTCGGGGAGAATACTAATCAGAATTCAATGGTTTAAAATCATGTATGTGAATGATGGTACTTTGGACTCTAAAACACCCACATATTATTTAGCAAACAGCAAAGAAGCTGTGTAAATAGTGTTCTGGGCACAGATCTCCTGATAACTTCAGTATACCTGTCTTTTTATCCATAGTTAGTGGTACTGAATTTATTATTTTAATTCATTCATAGTACTTTTCTCCAAGTTGGATCTTGATCTCATTTCCCTAAGGGATTTACTCCCTTCTGCTACACAGAGACTGCCATATATTGGCTCTTCTTCATGAATCTTCACAGGTATTCCTCTGCTCTCCGATCTACAAAGTATCATTGGCTACAAATCGATGCCTTTGAAACCATGCAACGACTAGAAGTAAACCGGTAAGAATATGGAGCAAAATTTTAAAAAGTTACATAATACAATGTTCTGTGCTTTCCTGGGTTACGGTACATCTAAGTATTAAAACCTAAAAACCATAGAGAGTTGTCTATATTGCCTATGCCTGGCCCTGCACGTAGTAAAATTACTATGTTGATTATGCTCCAAGTAGCTTATCAATAATTCTCAACCATAAGTTAATGAGTAGATGGCTATCACTATTAACAAATCTGTGAACAAGTGTTGTGGGTTGAAATGAGTCCTCCTAAAACACGTGTTGGGAAGCCCAAATAAAACACCAGACACGAGCTGATCGGACTCAGAGCGGCCCGAGGCTGTGGTCCGGTGCTCCTGCGTTGTCTGACTCACAGCGACCCCTGGTGCAGCAGACGGAACCGCCCATCCCGCGCCGTCCACACAATCGCTTTTAGGTCGGAGCCATTGCTGCAGCCACTGTTTCTATCTATCTTGTCAAGGAGCTTCCTCTTTTTCGCTGCCCTTCCCCTTTGTCAGTTTGTCATTCTATGCTGCGTTATAGGCTGCACTACGGAGGCGGATGTGCACGGTGGTGCTGAAGGCTGTGTCGCTGGGAGGTCCAATACCAGCAACGGCACCCAAAGTGAACAGGTTGTAGCCGGGCTTCCAGACTAAGAACGGACTGAAAACAAGGAGTAGGCTGACTAATGCAGAGGAAACCAGTTCTACGCACAGCTACCCTACAGGACAGCATAGACTGTCCTATATCATTTCTGAGATTATAAATCTTTTTTCAGAAGAACAGTCTCAATTTTTCTCCAAAAGGGGCTGATGGGTTTGAACTGCTGACTTCCCAGTTAAAGCAACCCAACACGTAACCCACCGTAGCTTTAGGCTCGTTATCTATTGAAATACTAATCCTTACATTTGTAGCTACAATTTCGTTTTGCAACGGGATGTTCTTTATTATGTTAATGAAGCCCTGTTGGCACAGCCTTAAATCAATCTCGTTTGAGTTTAAAAAGAGCGCATCGCACACAGAAGCAGGGCGCACAGATGGGGAGAGACAGATGCCACATGCAGACCGACAGGACACTAAGCATCAGAAACGAAAAGCAGATGAGCACCGTCCTCCAGAACTCCCGCAGCGAGAGGGGTTTCCTGCATCAAGCTTCATGAACGTGGATTCCTAGCCTTCTAACTAGAGAGAGAAAAGTGGCCACTCATTTGTGGTATTTCTTTTCTACCAGTACCAAAATAAACTGAGGTTTGGACTTCATAACAAAAGGCAAAATATATTAAATTAAGGCAAAAAAATATATGTGACGAAAATGTGTGAGGCAAAAATACTGCTCATTTTTATTCAAAAACCACGTGTGCTTGGTCTAGCACACACATCAGCTACTCTTCTCTCCCCCCAGCTTTCTTCCCATCCATTCACCACCCACCCAAGAAACATGTCTTGAGACCCTTTGGGGGAGAACCAAACAAAGACGTTTGTCTTCAACATTTTTTTTTTATAAAACCGAACAAGCAAACGCCCTGGTGGGGAATGCAGACAAGTAAACAATGATCAAATAAGCAATGACTGAATAATGACACGACAGGTGCTGTACAGGAGAATAAAGTACAAGGAGAGAGAGAATGTGACTGAAAAATTAGGAAAAGATATTTTACTGTGAGCCAGGTAAGCCTCTCCAAATAAGTAAAGGAGCACTATCTCATTATTGATATTGATCAGTATAATGTGTGCTTATTCGAATGGCCTATCCTCTTACTTAATGGCTGGTAACTGGAAGAATATGCCTTAGCACCAAGTAAGCAACAAAAGTGAACAGTCTGGTGTTTATATAAATGCCACTGATCTTTCTTCCCTTAATGGAGAAAGAGGAGAATACAGCATTTCCATGCACAAAGGGACTTCCTCCTTTCCCCTTACCGGATAAGGCAACAGTTTGAGAATGAATGAATTTTAAATCAAACAATGTACGATCCTGAAGCCGTGGTAGGAAACCTGATTTTTTTTCCCCATGAGGCAATTTTGTAGGCATTTCTCTTATAATGCACATTTTTATAAGTAAAATTGAAAAGTGTTAAAAATACTTTCTTTGGTTGGCAATGATAATCACGTACATGATATAGAGAATGAAATGGTACCCTTAAAAGCAAAAGAGCACCGCAAGAACCTAAGCTATTATTATTGCTGTTATTAGACTGCTCACCCGAACCGGAAGGAAGCGGACCGTAGTCCTGGGATGTGCGCTTGGACTTGACATCTTCACCTGGCAGTCTCCTAGCAGGGGGCAGAGGCACTTGGCCACTTGCTGGATCAAAAAAGGGATCTGAAAAATAAAGATAATTTTCAAATTAAAAGGAAAACCATTGATTGGTTGAAGAGCAACACTCCTGAAATTTCCTATAAAGATCACGGCTATTGGAAACTAATTAGAATGTTAAATTCATAACTGATAAAAAACATTGTCCAATCTATTTTCTAATTCATGCAACACTTGCTCAAAATAGGTTTTACTTATTTAGATAATATTTGATGGCACGCTTACATTGTTCACGTTATTTCATTGCTAATCACTGATTATAAAACTTGTCTCTGAGTGGTATTTGCTGTCCCGATCAATTCTGTACAATGGGAGAAAGCTGTTTTAAAATAAAAGTGAAAAAGTGGAACTTGGCATGTTGTCGCTCCCTATGAGAAAACGAGGGGAGTTCATAAAGTGATTGGAAAAATGGAATTAAAAGTATATGAGGCATTTCCCTGTACCACTGAGGATCCTCCCATTACCAAATCACTCTCTCTACACACTGTTGTTCGTTGACCCTGAGTCAACTGCGACCCATAGCAGTGCCCAGGGTGCAGAGCAGGACTGCCCCATAGGCTCACAACAAGGCGGTGACCTTTCAGAGGCACCGAGCAGGCACATGGGGTGGGGGGTGGGGGTGGGGGGGTGCGGTCTGAGGCCACAGGTGGGTTCAAACCATTAACCCATGTATGGCCAATAGTTGAACGCTTAATCATTTGCATTACCCAGAAACTCCATCACCAGGCAGGCTTATCTATAAAGTGTTGAGATTTGGGATGATTAAGTTAATTAATGTATGCAAAGGGTCGTAAGCATAAAGTGGTTACAATTTTGACATCTGACATTTTATGGGAAATATAATTATTGCTAGTTGATGCAATGAGCAGTAAATACAATTGCTAACAATTGTGCTATTATTAACATTAAAGTCTAAACTTAGTTAAATGTGATTTTTTTTTTTAAGTTTAAAAGCCTCAGTTTATTTTTATTTTTACCTTTTTAATTAAAAGATCATTTTATTGGGGGGCATACAGCTCTTATCATAATACATACATATATTAATTGTATCAAGCATATACATACATATGTTTCCATCATTATTTTCTAGACATTTACTTTCTATTGAGCCCTTGGTATCAGCTCCTCTTTTTTTCC